AAATCCTATCACCATCATCCCCATCTCCTTTATCCATCTAGAAAACAGGAAAATTAGTGCTGTGAACTTTCTTGAGTATATTGTTCAGTAAGCCGATTTTTCTGACATGCGGGAAATCTATTGATATTGGTATGTTTATTTAGTTTTTATCCAGGTAACTAAATTCTAAGCATGTTTTAGTTCATATTTTTGGAGTATTCTTGTAACGCATTTGTATTAGGTAGAAAGACTTGGTCTTCAAGTTACAGAAAACCCAAACTAAATTAAAATAGGTCCCAAAGAAAATATATTTGCCCCCAAATTAATGTGCTGAACTGCAAGGTTGGTATGAATCACAAAGCAGGTAGTTCAAACTCACCAGCCACTCCTCAGAAACTCTAAACAGCGTCTCTATGAGTAGGAACCATCTCAAAGGCACTTACAATAACAAGTGAAAATTTCAGGGTGGCTCTAGCTTCCAGCTAGGTGTGATCTAGAGGCAAGGGTGTCATCAGGTTCAATTCTTGAAGGTTCCTCTTGCCTCTGCACTCCTCTCTGTTGTCTTTGTTCTCATACTTGTTGTTGGTAAGTGCCCTTCAGATGCTTCTGACTTAGAGCAACCCTGTATAGAGATGCTGAGGAGTGGCTGGTGGATTTGAACTGCTGACTTGTGGTTAGCAGTCCATTGTTGATCCTCCAGCACCACACCAGGAATCCTTGTCTTCATACAGGCTTCCCCTAATTGTGGCAACATTTGCTACAATGGTTCCATAATTCAAGTCCTCAGCCAGAGGAAGAGCACATCTCTTTAGGGAACACCCATGGAGAGGGAGGTGGCTTCTTTCCCCAAAGTCTTAATCAATATCATCTCATACTTCATTGGTCCACATTGACTGATATGACCATCTCTGAGTTAACCACATCTGTGATCAACAGGGGTGTATGTGCTTATTGACTTAACTTGTTCAAGAACCATCCTGGCATTAAGGAAAGGGGCCAACCCCACCAAATCACGTGGATGCCACAGAGTGGGGCAGGAGTGAGATCCCAAAAGGAGTATCAGGAAGCTTTTGATTGGAGCAGGAAATGGGTGGTAGAGAAGAAACCTCAAATCATTTATTATAACAGGATACCACTGTCTGTAAAAAAGGAACTCTGGTAGTGTAGTGGTTACCAGTCGGGCTGCTACTCTCATGCTTAGCAGTTTGAAACTGCCAGCTGATCCATGAGAGGATGAGGCTTTCTGCTCCCGTAAAGATTTACAGCCTTGGAAACCCTATACAAGGTTACTATGAGTTGGAACTGACTCCATGGCACATAGCCACCACCACTGTCTGTAAATAATGATTCTTCATTGTCTCCTTCCAACAGTTACATTTTTAAAGTCTATCTCCTGCTTCAGCATGTTAGCTAGAATATGTAAGATCTAATGCATTTACAAAGAATGATGAAAATGGTTTTGAGCATTTTATAAGCTTTAGAAAGGATGTTTATAAAAATAGAGAAGCAGGGGGAAGAACCAAGAAGCAAATGCTTCTAATCACTTCTTATACAATGTGAAGATTCCCTGGATCAGTTTAATGGCTATGGAACTAGGAGGAAGGGATAGAATCAATAAATAGTTGAGATGGTCTTGGAGATGTGCCAAGGTGTATGATTGCTCTATTGCTGTGTGGCTTAAAACAATACCAATTGGTTGTCCGATAGTTTTCATAGGCTAGAAGTCCAGACATAAATTAGTTGGTGGTCTATGTTCTGGGTCTCACAAGTCTGAAGTCAAGAACTGAATTTGGCCAACAACCTGAATGAGCCTGGAAGAAGACTGCAAGCTCCAGATGAGAATGAAGCCCAGTGTACACCTTAACTTCAGACTATGGTTCACATTTTTTTGATGGCTGTGAGCCAGGGGTTGATCTCAACTGCCCTGAGCTCCTGCTCAGATGGCTGTCTGATATGTCAGCTTACTTCTTCAAGGCAAGTAGGGGAATCTCTCTAGTCTGTGATGACAAAGTTTTATATAAGAGCAGAATCATCGGTGTGACTATGCATAGGTCCTGCCCACACTCTTGAGCAAGGAAATTTTATAACACATGTACATCAAGGAGTGGGAATTTGGGGTCATCTTAGAACACTGACTACCACAAAAGAAAACATTCTTGCCCCAAGGCTTGTAGTCTAAGGCTTGGTGTTACAATTCAGACTGACCAGGAAACTCACTTAAAAATAGACACTGAGATATGCTACAACACTGACATCTGAAAATGGGGATGTTAAGTGCCGTCGAGTTGGTTCCGACTCATAGCTACCCTGTATAGGGTTTCTGAGGATCAGCTGGTGGGTTTGAAGCATTGACCTTGCATTTAACTGTCTAGTGCTTATCCTGCATTGCCATGCCATGGGATATTTTTGTTGTTGTTAGATGCTGATGATGAGTCAGTTCCCACTCATAGAGACCCTCTGCACAACAGAATGAAACACTGCTTGGTCCTGCATCATCCTCATAATCATTTTCACACTTGAATCTGTTGCTGCTGCCACTGTGCCAATCCATCTTGTAGTGGATCTTCCTCATTTTTGCTGACCCTCCACTTTAACAAGCATGATGTCTTTCTCCAAGGATTGGCCCCTGCTGATAATATGTCTGAATTATGGGAGGTGAAGTCTTGCCATTCTTACTTCTATGGAGCATTCTGGCTGTACTTCTTCCAACAAAGATTTGCTTATTCTTCTGACTGTCATGGTATTTTCAGTATTCTTCTCTAACACCATAACTCAAATACATCAATTCTTCTGAGGTCATCCTTATTCACTGTCCATCTTTCACATGCATAAGAAGCTATTGAAAATACCATGGCTTACAGGTGCACTTTAGTCCTCAAACTGACAGCTTTGCTCTTGAACATTTTCTTTTGCAGCAGATTTGCCCAATACAATATGTCATCTGATTTCTTGACTACTGCTTCCATGAGTGTTGACTGTAGATCCAAGCAAAATGAAATCTTCAGCAACTTAGATCTTTTCTCCATTTACCAGGATGTTATTTTTTGGTCCAGTGGTGAGGACTTTTGTTTTCTTTCCATTAAGGTGCAAGGAAACTGTAATTCTCAGGTTGTGAATAATTCTAAGAAAGTGATGTGGATTCAGAGAAATGATCAGAACATTTAAGTAGTTATGCAGTGGTAATAGTTAAAAAACAAAACAAAACTATTACCACTACACAATCTGGCAGTTGATCTAGTGATAACTCCAAATTACTGATGATTAAAATTTATTATTTTTTAAAATACTATAAAATACTTGTTGTTAAGTGGCGTCAAGTCGGTTCTGACTCACAGCCACCCTGTATAGGGTGTCCAAGGCTTTCCAAATCTCTGCAGGAGCAGAAAGCCTCATCTTTCTCAGAGTGGCTGGTGGACTTGAACCACTGACCTTGTGGTTTGCAGTCCAGTGCTTATCCTCTAGAGCCACCATGATCTCATAAAATACTTGTACGTATATTATTTGATTTAGCCCTTTCCAGACTTTTAAAATTAGGTAATAATAGAAACATCTAGTTTATGAGCTGTGACTTAGGATTCGCAAAGCTCTTTTAGTTCTCTCAAATTCTGACTGTCAGATTCTCAATGCTGTTCATGTGTCAGAAAAAACAGACACTTGTGGACCACGTGCGAATTCATCCTTCTATTTCTTTGACCATGTGACTCCTTTTGCCAAAACTATCTCTCTTGCATTCACATCCAGCAAACTTCTATTCATCCTTCAAACCCTTTTTTAAAGGTATGGAGGTCAGGGAAATTCTTGAACAGCATTGTTCTTAAGCAGTCTTGTGTTGTTCTTCATGAGTTAAGTAGAGTAGATCTCCACATTGACAGACACAATCAAGTTCAATTCCGTATCTTCCTAGGACATCAATGGAAGAAAATGTGACAGAACCCAGTGACAGTTCAAATAAACACTTGTTCTTGCATAAGTGTTATGAATGCTTAGCTTGTATTTGTAACTACTTTAAATCTCACAGCCCAGTGGCATGGCTTTGACTATTTCCCCATCTTATAGATGAGAAGATGCACATGTGTGCAATGAAATATTATGCTACATCAAAAGGCAAAGTGAAATAACATATTTGTTTACATGGAAAAGTGTTAATATAGTGTTGTATGATAAAAGCAGGTTATAAACTAGTTCATGAAATATAAATCTACTTCACAGATGGAAGTCTATGTGCCTAAATAGCAAATGGAGTCTTAATGTGGCGCTGTAGGATAAACACTGGACTGCTAACTACAAGGTCGGTGGTTCAAATCCATCAGCCGCTCCTTGGAAACCCTACGCAGGGATTGCTATGAGTTGGAACTGACTTAACGGCACTTAATAGCAACAACAACAACAAATACCAAATATATATGTTGTTGTTGTCAAGTGCTGTCAAATCGATTCTGAACCATAGCGACCCTGTATAGGGTTTCCAAGGAGCAGCTGGTGAGCTTGAACCACCAACCTTGCAGTTCAAACGGCTTTGCAGTCTGGCACATTAACCCACAGTGCCACACCAGGACTCCAAATATATATGAACTTTAAAAAGTTGATGGAAAATTCCATTATGTTTTAATTCCATTTTTTCATAAACTCTTTGACACTGTCTCATATAATATATATTCATACCTATGCATATAAAAGGAAGCACCGCAGTTCTGTATGATAGGCACTGGACTGTGAGCCACAAGGTTGTTGGTTGGAGCCCACAGGGTCTCTATGAGTTAAAAGTGACTCCATGGCACTTAGCAACACTTAGCAATGAATATGAAAACATCTTGAAAGGTGTAACCAAAATCCTCATTGTCTCTGTTGGAATGGAGCAGTATTTTGAATGATTTGAATTTTTGTGTGTATGTTTGGGAGGGGAATTATCATTTTCTGATCTTTATGCAATGCATAGTAAATTTTAGTACTAAAGAAAGAAAAGGAGAAGAAAATAAATGCTTCTAGTCTCCATGCATGCTAACACTGCTCAATCATTCCAGGTGATTGTGAAGACAAGGACGGAATACCAACCAGAACAGAAGAACAAAGGGAAGTTCCGAGTGCCGAAAATCGCTGAATTTACGGTCAGTTTCTTGATGGTGTAACAGAAAAGAGTAAAGGTAAGGCTGGCTTCAGCCAGCTCAGGACACCACATGCTAGTGGAGTAGGTCCTGCTGGGAGCAGTAAAAAGACAGAGACTGTTTTGGGAGGAGGTCTTGAGACCACACTGTCAGGGTTACCGCTCATGTGCTCTTCTATTCAGGAAGCTCTGATCATTTGATCAGTGTTGAATGCCTCTTGAATTCCTTCTCTTCAGGTTCCCTGGTGGTATAGTGGATTATACGAATGGGCTGCTAACCACAACAGCAGTTCTAACCTACCAGCTACTCCATGGCTGTCTGAGTCCATAAAGATTTACTGTCTCAGAAATCCTGGGGAGCAGCTCTGTTCTGTCCCATAGGGTTGCTGTGAACCAGAATTGGTTCAGTGGCAATGGATAAGCTTTTTCCTTCTGCTCCTCTCTCTCTGGTTTTCTGTCACAATCTGTAGGAAATGTGTAAAGAAACCCAAGTTTTAGTCAATGGAGATGGTTAAAACAAATAAGAGAAAGGAAAAGAAAATCTGGTTTCTCTTTGGTAAAAACCAAATGGTTGACATCCTATTTCTTGGTGAAGGGGTCACTAACTGAGACAAGCTGCAGGAAGGAGCAGTAAAGCATGTTCTGGTAGGATGTCTGGAGGTACCTCGGGGAACTGAGAAGGGTTGCTGGCAGCTGAGGAGAGTTCAGCATGTGCAAAGGTCCTGAGGCATGTGGGAGACTGGTTCAAAAACTCACTAGCAATAGAGGCAGTGAGGCTAGGCTTTGGGAGCTGGGTGTTGAGGAGTAGGGAGTGGTGGGGAAGTGGGGTGAGATGGGGTTTGCAAATGAGACTGGGAGTGGGAAGAGCAGAGAACAGCAGAAATGAGGCAGGAAGGTTGGCAGAGAGCAGACAATTCCATGCTTTATGGGGTATAGGAGAATTTTGATTATATGCTAAAAGCACCAGAAAGCCCCTGCAGACCTCAAGAAGGAGACAGGTCAGACTTAATTTGGGTCTTGAAAAAGGATTCTACAGGGTGAATGAAATATAGTGGGCAAGAGGGAGTGTGAGGAGACTATCGTTGTTGTTGTTAAGTGCCGTTGAATGGATTCTGACCCATAGCGACCCTGTATGGGGTTTCCAAGGAGCAGCTGGTGAGCTTGAACCACCGACCTTGCAATTCAAATGCCTCTGCAGTCTGATACATTAGCCCACAGCGCCACACCAGGACTATTGTTGTTGTTAGGTCAGAACCATCAAGTCAGTACCCACTCATAACGACCTTATGCACAGCAGAATGAAACACTGCCCGAACGTGGGCCAACCTCACTACTGTTGCCACACTTGAGTCCACCGATGCTGCCACTTGGCCAATCCATCTGTTGGGGGTTTTCCTTTCCTTCTCTGACCCTCTACCTGTAGACTACTGCAAATGTCCAAGTGAAAAATGATGGTGGCTGATACAAGGATAACATGTGGATGGAAAGATGTAGGCAGTCATAAGAGATACTTTGTTGTTGTTAACTGCTGTTGAGTTGGTTCTGACTTATACCCACCCTGTATAGGGTTTCTGAGAAGAGGCTGATGGGTTTGAACTGCCAACCTTGTAGTTAGCAGTCCAGTGCTTTTTCTACAGTGCCACACCAGGACTCAATTTAGAAGGCAAAATGAGTCACAGAGGCAATAGAAGAAGTGGTTCTGTGTGTGCGTGGGTATTGGGGCAGTCCAACTAGACTTGAGCTCGGGCTCTGCCTTATACCAGCCCTGTGACTCCAAGAAATTCACTAGCCTTCATGTATCAAATGGAAGTAAGAATAGCAGCTATCTCCTATGATAACTGTGAGGATGGCTTGTGGAATGCATGCAGGCAGAGCCCCTGGATCTGGATATGATAAAGGTACAATACGGTTGCTGACCACAAGGTTTGCAGTTCATGCCCACCAGGGAAAGACGAGACTGCCTGATGCAGATTTAGTCTCAGAAGTCCTGTGCAGGGTTGCTATCAGCCAGAATCAACTCGATGGCAGTGAGTTTGGCTTTGATTTTGGTCTGTTGTGTCAGTGGTAACTGGGGATTTTGAAAGTGAAAATGGTCCTTGTTTGGTTACCTAGGAATGGGAGTATGTGCCATTGGTCTGTTCCTGTCTCTAAACATCTTTCCTCTTGTAAAACTAAACTGCAAAGTGTGTGAGCCTGAGGGGGTAGGGTGAACCATTGTGTGCATCTCTGGGAAGGTGGCACTTTTCTGGTTGCTGAGCCCTGGTGGTGCAATGATTTAGCACTCAGCTGCTAACTGAAAGGCTCCAGTTGGTCCACAGGAGAAAGCTGTGCAACAGAACACTGGTACCTGTGAGGTGGTCGGGTTGTAAAGGATGGATACTGATAGCTAATGCATGCATACCAGGCCAAGAGTCAAGCTGATCCGTCCCACTGGTGAAAGAGACCATCAGAAACATGCCCAGGCTCATGTACAAGGTTGTTGATTGCAATGTTATTTATTAAATCACAGTATTTCAAGTGACACTAGACTTTTCATGACTTTCCATGATTCTTCCACATCTGTAAGATAAAATACAGTTTCTTAAGAATCACCTTTATATATTTTTTTCTTTGTAGAATATTTTGTGATCTTTTCTGAATTAAGGAATTAGATTTTCATGTTCTTTTTACTTTTCTGGAGGCTTAGTGATACAATGAGTTAAGTATTGGGTTGTTAACTGCAAGGGTGGTGGTTCAAACCCACTAGCTGCTCTGAGGGTCCAAGGTGAGGCTGTCTGCTCCCATAAAGATCTAAAATCTTGGAAACCTTATACAAGATTGCTTCAAATCAGTGTTGACTCGATGGCAGCAGATTTTGACATTTCTGTGCTTTCCAAATTTGGAAGATGAATATATTTCAATAACCAGAAAAAATATTAGAATGATTTTTTTTTTAAGTCTTCTCTTTTTACCAAATAGAGTGTTATGAGTTCTTAGTAGAATCCTTCCTTTATTAGCGTCATTTAAAAAGGTGGTTATAAACACATGCAGTATTTGGGCAAATATTTCAGAGAGAATGTTAAGTGAGAAAGGCAGAGATTGAAACTGTATGTTGTCTAATATTGCTGTTGTTGTTAAGTGCCATTAAGTTGGTTCTGACCCATAGTGACCCTGTATAGGGTTTCTGAGGAGCCGCTGATGAACTTAAACTGCTGACTTTGAGGTTCAAACCGACTTTGCAGTCCAGAACATTAACCCACAGAGACAAATACACAGAGAAAGAATGCCATGGAAAGAATGACATCAGAATGCTCTGACTGTGTCTTCCATGGTGGTGGGGGACACCGTTTGTTTTCTCTTCATACTTAATTCCCATGAGTCCCTTGGAGACTGACAAAATCCTCAGTTTGTTAGAGGGAAATATGGCTCAGAGAGGGGAAGTGTCTGGCACAGCTGGTGGTTAACGGCAGAGCCCCCACCTTGAGAAGAATACCACTGCTTAGAACACAGGTGAATCTGCTGGTAAAAAGGAGCAACTTTCTAGGATCCAGGGCCTGGAGGGATTCTATCCCCTAAGTTTGACTCCTGTAGTCCTGGGGATCAGTCAGGGCTTCAGGGCATTAGAGCCTGGGGCAGTCATTTGTCAGTCTTGTCAGGTGTGGGTGAGGCCCCGCCCCTTGGAATAAAGGGGGAGAAATGAGGCAGATTCCCTTGCTTTTGTAAAGCTGCGAACATGAATTAGTATGGCTCTTCGCTTTTTCACAGAAAGTTCCCTCAGGGTCATGTGGAGGATGCATGTGCTGGGGTAGGTGGATGCAGGAAGATTATAAAACAGCCCGGCTGGTAATTAAGAAGACTCTGAGGGCCCGAGCTGATTCAGCTGCATTAACTGGGGCTCAGGGATTCTGGCTGGAGACTGTGCTAGACATAGACTTTGCAAGACTGTTTCTTGGTTGAAAAGTCCCTGAGTGGCACAGATACTTAATGGGCTTGGCGGCTAACTGAAACCCTGCACTCAGAGATGCTTCAGAAGAAAGGTCTGGCTTTCTTCTACTACTTCTGAAAAATCAGCCATTGAAGACCCCGTGGAGCCTCCCCCACCTCTAAGACTGAAACTCAAAGGGCATGTAAGCTTGCTGGTGACCACATTGGTCTACTGATGAGCAGAAGATGGGGAAAGGCAGCAATGAAGAGATGAATTCAACCATGTTCCACAGACTCCCATTGACCTGGAAATGAGAGAAAGAAGAGGAAGGGCTGGTTGGTCCAAAGTGTGGTCAGACCTGGGGACACCTGAGCCCGTGGACAAGGACATAGCCACAGAGGGCTAGAGCTGAGAGTGAAGCATCCAGCTGATATGAAGTGAGGGGAGATGCACAAGAACACACAAACTTGCAGATAGTACAAATTTGACCTAGCCTTGATGGCTTGATAATCAGAACTTGACTAGAGGAAGATTAAAAAAAGAAAAGAAAAGAAAAGAAAAGAAAAGAATTTTTTTTGATAGGGGAAAGGAGGGTAAATTGCTACAATTTGATGAACTTGACCTATTCTCATGGAGGTAGTAGCTCTAAATACCAACAGAGAGGGAAGGAGTCTTTACATCAAGTATCAATGCTATCCCCTCTGTATACAGGGTAAGATAGGGATGGGCAACTCAGACATTGGCTACCTAAAATGAGGGGGCAATAAGGGCATGAAGTGATTGGCTTGCAAGGTTTCAAGGAGGAGTTTAGTTTAAGAGTGTGTGAGGGAAGGAAGAGTTCCCATTGAATAGATGGGTTATCTAGATGGGTTCTGTTAAAAGAGATGGGAATAAGATTCTTATGATTCACTAGTGAGTAATTGTTATCATGACTAGTTGTGACTGTCACAATTATAAAGGTAGAAGTTTTGTAACAAAAGTGGGGGAGAAGTTAATCTTACAGTCCAGAAACAAAAGACCCTAGGCTCATCAAGGGAGAAGAACACTAGTGGAATGAGAGATCCAGAGAAGCAGTGACACCAGAGATGGAGGCAGAGATG